ATAATAATGAAATAAGCAAGAGAGTTAGGCACAGCGAGACAAAGAAAATAAATAGGATGCTTACCCATGTCGTGGGCTCGCTCAGGAAAGACCAGTGGAGTGGATCTTCAGAAGAGAGAGAGATCCTTCCCCACTGGTAGTCAGCTCTTAAATGGGTCTAGGAGAGGTGGAGCCAGGCTCCACCCCTTCCTGCAGCACAGGTGAATTGCTTTCACCTGTGCTCCCAGGGCTGACTCATTGCTTGCCTCAGGTGATTAATCAGAGGTTCAGGCTGTGACTCAGCAGTTCCCATACAAACTTCATTAAACTTATAGAATTATTTAGCACTAATCCCTGTAAAACAGAGCTTGGGCTAGAGACAGATGCACTCCAGATATGACTCATTTAGTCTGCTGGAGTGTTTTAAATTAGCTTTTAGTTGTTTGTCAGTTTGAAAAAAAAAATAGTATCCCTGGTTTTCCTTAGAAAAAAAAATTACTGAAGCTTTTGCTGTGTTTGGAGAACTTTGAGATTTTTTCCTGCCCTGTAAACAGAAAAGACACTCCAGTTATTATTGCCTTGGATTATTCTAGGGAAGTATTTCTTTGAAGAAAGCAATATATGTTTTTGATTTGTATGCCTCAAATGTGTAGTTCTGCTCACTTCTTAAGGTAGTACTTATATTCTATAGTTGCTAAAAGAAGCGAGGCTGAAGTATCACAACTTGAGTGCACATCTGCTTTTATCTGATTGTCATTCTAACTCTCCTTTATTTTTGAAATCACAAAGTAAAGTTGGACTTCACCCTTATTTGGCAGAGGAAGAGAGGTGACATAGCAGTTATGTCTGTACAAGAGAAGTGACTGTCAGGAGCTGGATTTTACTTCAGAAAGACATGAATACTCCTATTGCAGGAAAAGGTGCAGTCAAAGTTCACAACTTTTTAAACATTATATGAAATGAGAGTCTCAAGGAACCACAGTACCTGTTTGGTCATTTGTGTGTTTCTTTTCTTCTCTTCAACTGGAACCATGTACAATCAATAAGTGTACAAAAGCTAGGCTTAGTAAGACTATCGCAATGGAAAGATAATCAAAATAAATGGAAATGCTCACCAGTGTCATAGGCTTGCACAACTCCACAAGGAACGATCTCCAGAAACAGATCTTTCCTCAGTCGCAGTCAGCCTTTAAATGGGATCTAGGAGAGGTGGAGGCAGTCTCCACCCCTTCCGGTAGTACAGGTGAATTGCCTTTACCTGTGCTCCTGTGGCTGACTCATTGCTTGCCTCAGGTGGTCAGTCAGAGGTTCAGGCTGTGATCAACAGGCTGTTCCCAAACACTACACCCCTTCATGGCATGAACCTATGATTGGGTTAACTAAAGGATGAGCTTTCCTTATTACAGAGATCTGACACATCGTGACGCTTATACAATTTCCCATCGCGATGTATGTAGACACAATTTAAGGCAAACAATGATTGGTGAAAGTTCAGGTTCTTTCGTGGGCCAGTGCTCGATGATGTTACTGGAGACATGTAATCGTGAGGTGCAAGTCCATCTGTGTTTCATCAGTCCTATGTAAGTCATCACCAGGTGTTGCACGTGATCTGGCAGCAACACAGGAATGGTGTGAAGATAATTTTTTCTTTCCGGTGGGCTTAGAGGCTCGAAAACTCAGGGGGAGTAATACAGATCTCCAGAAAGAGATCCTTCCTCAGTGGCAGTGAGCCCGTAAATGGGGTCTAGGAGAGGTGCAGCCAGGCTCCACCCCTTCTGGTAGCACAGGTGAATTGCCTTCACCTGTGCTCCCATGACTGACTCAGTGCTTGCCTCAGGTGGTCAATCAGAGGCTCAGGCAGTGATCAACAGTTCCCATACAAACTGATGTTGCTTAAAATCTGGTATTTTTGAAGCATCATCTGATTTTTGAGCTGTGGTAGTTAGAGGGCTGTAATACAGAAAGCTGGATCACCTGAGTCTGGGACAGTTTCTCTTACAGCTTTACTTAAGCTGAATTGCAGTTAGGGGTAGGACTGCAAGATAGCTCTGAACTGCAGACAGTCCTATGAAGTCTCTTTTGTCACTGTACTTTTTACCTGTCGCTTCCTGACCCGTATTTTGTACTTCATATTTTGACAAACTTTGACTCTTTACCACGCTACTGTTGAGTTAGTCACATTGCTTGGAAAAAAAAACCTCAAAGAACCAACAATCAAAGTTGTTTAACTGCTCCTTGAAATATATAAATGAGCCTCCACAATTCTGTCCGTACGGAAACATTTTTACTCCCGTAGGTTATAAATACAGAACAGATTACCTTTCTGAAAGCTGTTAGAAATAGTCCCTATCCTTTGTTTATGCAACAGATTGGCTCCAGAGCTGGCAAGGAGCTTGGTTCTTATCACTTTACAAGCATGAAGTAATCAAATATTTGTTTATTTACCTAATTTGAACAGGACAACTCTACCAATAGACCAAATAAACGAAAGGGCAAAAAAGATATATATAGCTCTATTATTCAGTGTGTATTCAAACACCATTTTTGTTTTGCAGGGACAAGCTGATCTTCTCAAATATGCTAAAAATGAAGCACTGGAGAATCTGAAACAAATCCATTATGCCACTCTTTCATGTGGACTCAATAAGCCAGGCACTGAAAACGCCGAAATCTCGAAGCCCCGTCGAAGCCTGGAGGTCATACCTGAAAAAGCAGGTGATGAAAATGGAGAATGAGAGAACTCTCATCTTATAATTATGGAGTTTATAACTCTGTGACCAATTGTAGCTGCATAGGACATTTGCTTTGCACTTACTGTTGAAAAATATTTGGAATCTTCAAAGCACAACTGGAGAAGCTAATTACAATCTATTGAAACTGTGAATGTATGTAGCAACTCTGCTTGTGAAGGCAATGATATTGTGCAACATGGAAATTACATTATTGGCCAAAATGTAGTATGTATGTAAAAGATACTGTAATTCAGTCATAGCGTGCTGAAAAGTTTATTATAGTGCCATAGGGAAGTGACTGTTTTTAAAATGAGCTATGATTAGAAAACAGATAACAGAATGTGACAAGTTGCCTTGATTTTCAAAAAGACAGATGTGTGGGTTCTCTGTTTCTTTGCACAGTTCCATAACTGTGCTAGCAAGGTGAATTATTGTGCGCCTAACTTTTGAAAATCAGGTCCAAAAAAGTGGGATCCACGTGTTCCACAGTACACGTAATTCAGCCGCTCAGATATTTGGATTTGAAGTGTTATTGATTTTATTGTTGAGCCATAAATTAAAACGAGAATGTAATTAGACAGTGATCACTGACTTCAGTGCACTATAGGAGAGCCATTATGTAAAAGGAAAATGTGCAATCAATCTGATAGCTTATGTCAGAAAAAAGATTCATACCTATTTTGCCTAAGATCTTCTGCAAATGTGTGTAGATAATGTGACCAAACTGCAAGCAAAACGTTGTAAATAGTTTTTCATTTTGTGAAGTGAAGTGCTCATCTTAAAAAGTTTTATGAGATTGCTCCTAGACAAGTAAAGCTTTTAACTAAATTTTAACTTTTTTATTTTTCAAGTATTTTCTTCCTTGCGGAATACGCGATATCTCAATAAGCAGATTTGTCAAAAAAAAAAAAAAAAAGCTGTTCTGGTTCTGTTTGTTTGGTTTTATGACGACATTAGGTAAAGGTATTGTAGCTGATATGCTCATTGTAAAATGACTATACCAACCTAGAGTGTTCTCTTCCTGTTTCTGATTTAACAATAAAATGGACTATATAATTACAGAAGCTAATAAATTTGAAGAAAAACAAGCAAAATCCTACAGAGATCAAAATGAAGTTTCTGTTCAGTCGTGGGAAAAAGTGGAAGACAGCAATGTCTGCTGAAAATCACTGTTTTAATTAGAGCTCTTCAAGACATGCATTCTACACAGATTTATCCATTTATTTAACCAATTTGAGATTCTATTTTTACATTTAGGTTATAATGTATATTTGTATATGGATAACATCTTGTAAAAGTCAGTAGGGCTCTGACAAAGAACATCAGTATACCCGCACTCAGTCTGAATTGTTAGGGACTTAGATTTATTTTCTAGTCATTATAAAGTTAAAGGAAAAGAAAGATGAAAACAGTTTGCACAGTAAATGTCACGTCTTAGCTTGCATTTTTAAATGTCAAACTGAATGGGCTGGGAGCAGTTTTAGAAGGTGCTGAGCTCTCTTAGTGTCCAGTGACAGATCATATGCCTCAATATGATGATCCTGCCAGGAATGAGTTCTGCTCTGACTTAGAAAATGAAGTGTTTAACCCGTGCTGAGCACCTGCAAGCACTGCTTTGTGAGCAGTCCTTCTCTATGCTGTCAGCTGCAAGCATTCCGTTGGCACATCCACTTGATGGGAAGCAACATGACATTGGCTGTTACCGACTGTACCCCGAGCCAGCATAAAATCAGTCTTCCAGGGTCAAATCTATTCCCGACTTATCTACACAATAACTATGTTACATCAAGATTTAGCTGGGCTGTAAATTGACAAGGTCAGTTTCACTTTATCAGAAAATCCAATACCCAGGCTGCTGGAATTTTACCACCAACTTTACTCCCAGTTGAAAGGTGTTGACTTTGAAAAAACGTCAGTAAGTTGGTCTTGTACTTCAGATAGGCCTAAAGGCCACTGAAGCTCCATTAGCAGTCCTGGCCCATCACTTTTTTAGTGGCAATCACAGAGCTATATAATTGATATCACAAATGAAACATTCCTGTACAACCTCTTTCTTCATCTGGGTGATCAGGATTAATGGCTCAGGTATTCTTACTGTTGATAAATCGCTGCTTAGCACATCACATCTTTGAGAGATGTCGGGTAACATTGAAAGGATTAAACACAGTGTTTTTTCTTCACTTTAAGGCAAAAAAAAAAAAAAAAAAAAGTGCAAGATGAGTGCCACATGAGTTAAGGCTGACAGGTTTTGTATGTTGAACTCTGCTGTATACATAACTCCTCTGATCCTGCTGTATCTCACTAAAAATGAAGATAATTGTTTTGTGAGTAATATCCATATATACCATCTGCTTAAACAGAACAAAGCAACGAAAGCAACCTAACAGCTAAAATAGATGCAGTTATCCAAATGACCATTTAAATACTTTTGGATTCTAGTGTAACACTGAGACCTTAAAATGGAAGTTGCTTTTGTGCATTATTTATACTCAGTCCAAATCTGTATGTAACATAAGGCCTTTAAATGAACTCAGTTAGACAGATGCTTTGAAAGTTGATGAGTAGCTAAAAATTCTTCAGGCAGTTTGCATGTTACATGTTAAAAGAATGCAACATAAACACCTGCAAGCAAAGTATCAGGTTCTACTGTTAACCCAGTTTTAACCAAATTTATTAGCATATTTTTCTCAGTTGTACTTTCTTAAAGTATTCTTTGCATCCACGATGCAATTACTTTTATTATTAGTCCTTTTTGACAGTGTTTATTTTAGGTTATGTGTTATGGTTATGTACAAACACCCAAAGTATGGTGAAGTGCTCTTAGCAAATTAAGCCATTAGTTAACATTACGCTTTTCTTTGCCTTTATTTTCTTAAATGTGCTGTAAAGTATTTGAACTGTTTATATAGCTTTGAACTTTGGAAGACGGAGCCAAAACACGAGTGGCTGTTTATCTGACTGCATTTTTGGCTTTTGTTTGGCTCCAGCAACTGAATAAGGATATGAATAGATAAATATGTCAACATATTGCTTAATTTAAAAGAAAATACTAATTGGGAAAGAAAACATTCACATAGGGATTATTCGCCATGTACACAGTAACAGCAAGTTCATTCTTGAACACAGTCCAAGTCCAGTCTGTAGCAGCCACTGGAGATGGAAGTGCAAAGCCCAGGATCATGCCCTCCATCCCCTGCACTAACCACTTGCACATGGCAACTCAGTCCTCCAAGAATTCCTCCCACAGCACTTTCTGAGGGATGTTCTGGGCCTATCGATGTTATCAAAGCATTCAAAACAGCTCAGGGAAAAGTTCTGGAGATGCTATGGCCCTTCTCTCATGCTGGTCTTCCTTCTCAAGTCAACAGGGTCGGGACTTAAGCACAGTATTGCAAAATGTCATGTCCATCTTGGACCGTTTGTTTCTTTATATTCTCATGTTTCTGCAGCAAGGAGCTCCAGGTGGGTGCCCCATTTCATGGGCTCGCTGGTGTAGGCATAGTGGAAGATGCTGTATGAGTCAGGCCAGTTTTCAGCTGCTTTGTACAGCCCAGGAATATTTTTGTAAGACTCCCTGGCCGGTTACCATGCTCACTTTTTCCTGTTCTGGAGTGGAAGCAGCAGAGAGATGAATCAGAACTGCCAGCATGAAAAATGGAAATGAGCTCCAAATTTTAATTCTGTTCTTCTAATCAAATGAGCGAATCCTAAAGGACCTAATCTTCCAGTCTTGCTATTCTTACATTTCCATATGTATAATTTCCTGGATTTCTACTGCATGAATGCAGTTTTGTCAGTAATATTTCTACTTGCTGTATGCATTGTTTGCTGCACAGGTCAAGGGAACTCCTGGCTTCTCTGTGCACATGTAATAATCTTTCACAGAATCATAGAATATCCCAAGTTGGAAGAGGCCTGTGAGGATCACTGAGTCAAACTCCTTTCGGTAAGCCTGGATCTACCTAGCTTTACACTTGTGTTGAGGTTCAAAATGAAGGGTGCTACTTGCAAAGGGGACAGTCGTGAGACCATAGTTGCAGCAAAGCTTGCACATACAGTGGTGTATTTCACACCCTGTAGCTGAAGTGGAGAACTGCTGCAGCAGGACACCTGGCCCATGGCATTTTAATACCGGGGAAGTCGCTAGCTTGCTGCTTTCATCTGTAATGGGTGTAGGACTTGACCACTTCTTTCTTCAATTCACACCTCATCACTGAGCAGTTAAGCTTTTTAAATGGAATATTTACTAACTTGGTTTAAAAATTAATAGGTCTGCATGTATCCTATACCAATCTCAATTGTTTGAACTCCTGTAAACATTTGAAAAAAATCCCCACAGTCTTACAACCCTCAGATTCTTTTTTCCTCTATTGCAAAAGAAGTGTTGGGACAGATCAGTCCAATAATTTTCCAAACTGACTCGTGATTCCCTTTATTCATTACAACTTGCTTGTTCTCCATAAGAAAAAAGCAGTAAAACCATTTGAGGTTTTATGGTTATTTCTGTTTCCGGACACTACTGAACTTCACTTTCTGACTTACCACCTCTGATCTCCAGTGGCTGGGGAAAGGCAGCCCCCTTTTTGCTGTGCATTACAGCTGTGCATTAGAAATGGGGCTTGAGTGAAGAGCAACAAGAGCCCTTGAAGGTGCAGGGGAGCACCCACTGTAGAGTATAATGAGCTGGAAAGCCGAAGGGAGTGGGGAGGCAATCAAATGTTAAACAAAAATGAGGAATTTTAGCCCAGAAATATAGGCAGCTATGGGAGCTATGGGATGGCATGGTCTTGGTGTCATCCCTTAGGATCCCTGCGTACTGGAAGATCCAGTGGTGCTGGAGGTGTTAGCAGTCCCTCAGGACAAAATGGATGTGAAGTGGGAGCACTGCCAATGCGGGTTCAGCTGCCCCTCCTGCCTGGTTGGAAGTGCACCGGCCTTGCTGGAATGTCTACAGCCCATAGAGGAGCTTTTGGAGGGAGAGGAGATGACTGATCAGTGCCTCACTGTAAGCTGAGAACTGTGTGGGGAGAAGGAAAGTAGCACAGCCAGGAAGTGGAGAGCAGGAACTCAGGCTGGGTTTTGTTCTCCGTCCTTTGGTTTCCTCCATCGATAAATTGGAGGAAATTACACCTAGCACATTCTGAGGTAACAAAAGAAACATCATACCGTGTGACTACTGAAAAATATAACCCCCCCAGTGCCTGCTAGGAGTGAAATAAACTGCCAAATAAATAGCTCAGCTTTAGGATGTATTTGAATGTCACGTACACTGGGTTTTACAAAGCAAATTAATGTCTAAATGATTTTTTGGAGGCACATATTCATCAGTCATGCTCCAGTGTGCCATGGGCTGCTGAGGAGGGCTTTAACACACAGCTGCTGTCAGTCGGCTGCAAAGTGAGCCTGGGTGTTTGGGGTCATGAGGGCTGAGGAGTTAAATATCACTACTGTCCATTATGAGAGTAAAAGATCTTTTATTTGCGTAACGCACTGGTAATGATTGTGCGAGGACTGCTGAAAAATGATGACAGAATGTCACTGGGTGGAGAAAAAGTGGATCTTTTCTGGGACCAGTGTGGGGCTGTGGGTAAGGATCTCACTGCAGAGTGCAGAGCATCCCCACAATGAGCAGCTGTGCCACCATTTCTGCTGTGGAGAATGAACAGCCAGCCAGCAGTGCTGGAAACAGTGCTTCCTGAACATCCTTCTCTGGAATACTGTGATTTGTGCTCACCTTTCCTGTATGCAGGTTTAAAGAACCGCACACTTTACTCGTTGCCATTTCTGTGCTGTTTCATCCCATCTGGCAATAAGTGCAATGTGGTTATGAAATAGGTGAAACCTGGAGGGCTGTGGCCATGCTCCAGCAAAGCAGGCAGGATCCGAAATTGGGAAGGAGGGAGGAAGGGCCTCGTGCTGCCCTGGGCCTTGGCTCACAACCAGTGCTCGAGGTTTATTTGCTTGATGAAATCTGTATCAATTTGTAAACAAACATCTTTCTAGATGACTGTTTACATGATAGTGATAGGACAAGGGGAGTGGTTTTAAACTGAGACAGGGGAGGTTTGGGTTAGATATTAGGAGGAAGTTTTTCACACAGAGGGTGGTGACACACTGGACCAGGTTGCCCAAGGAGGTTGTGGATGCCACATCCCTGGAGGCATTCAAGGCCAGGCTGGATGTGGCTCTGGGCAGCCTGGTCTGCTGGCTGGGGACCCTGCACGTAGAAAGGGGATTGAAATTAGATGATCTTTGAAGTCTTTTTCAATCCAAGCCATTCTATGATTCTATGATTCTGTGAAGATGGAGCAGCATGAGCCTCAGAGGAGGGCCCTGAGAGACACAGTGCACCCACACTGATGCACAGGGCAGCATGCAGATCTGTGTACTTTAACATCAGTGCCCACAGTTTTCACAATCTACACAGAAAAGAAGCCATCCCCAGCCCAGTTCCCCATATTTCAAGTATTTACTTTCTTGTAAAGTTACAAAAACTGTAGAAGAATGGAAAGGCGGTTGCTAACACTGGAACTGCAAATTTTGCAAAGCGTCCAAGTAGATAACATGCAAATGGCATTGATGTAATTCCCCTGGGTTCTGAACCTCTCTGACAATCACACTCCAGCAAGATACTGTTTGTAGACTGCTCACCAGAAGAATCAGGTTAAAATTATTTCATGACCTGTACTGCAAGTAATAACATTTCTAGTGCTGTAAGAATGACTATATTTGATCCAACAATATTCATTTTTCTATCTTCTACTGACCAATGTTTTGCATACAGAACAGGTATATTACTGGTTAAATCCTATAATGCAACAAAAGGCTGAAAAACGCAGAAATCCATAAAAGAAAATATTTTTTTAGAAGGCAGTAGTCACAGCCACAGGATTTCATTGAAGTCAACTGGCTAACTCAGCAAGCTCAAGAAGGGTGCTGGAGTCCTCACAGCTTATATGGATTTTCATAGTCACAGCACATTGCACTAAGCATGGGAAGGTTAAATCTCCTACTTCAGGGCTTAAAATAATCTCTTTTTTTCGTAATGATTGAGAGGACTTTGAACCACATACTGGAAAACTGGTACAGGTCAGTGGCCAACGCTAGCTGCTACAGTAGATAGAGAGTGCATTTAAAATGACGTGATAATTCCTGTGTTTTTGAGTAAATGTAAAAATACTTTCATGTTTAAGACATACACTTCTCTTGCCAAAGGGCATGAAGAAAGAACTGCTCTCTGCACATCCAGCAGCAGAGGCAAACACTGAGAGCTGGGTGCTAAAAATGAGGTGACTCCCAAGCATTGCTTTGGTCTGTATCACCGTAAGAGCAACAAGAGATGCAGGGCTCCAATTAAAGTAACTTTGTGGGGCTGTGGTGGGTAAATGGGGAACTTCCTCATTTGGAGAGATCTGTGCCCTGTGTTGGGGATTCCAGAAATACGGTTTTGTCACAGTGATTTTTCCCAGTGCTGACTGCTTCCAAAGCTGCTGCTTCCATAGTGGGTCACATCAGGACTGGCAGTTCCTACAGAACATGCTGACATAGGTGAGAGAGCCACAGCAATTAAACCTGGAAGGTTAATAGTTTCTGACTGACCAGGATGGAAGGGAAAGTAAGTGATGGTTGGAAAGTCACAGAAGACAAAAATATTCTTGCAGTGATTCTCTAGGGAAATAATAAAAGAAACAGAAAGGGGTGAGGGCTGCTCTGCTGGTCCATTTGCATTGTGATACAGCATTTTCAGATATCACTTCTGCAGCATTAACTTAATGCAAAAAACCATTTGCTTAGGGAAAGAACAGCCTAAGTGGAACTTTATCATATTCTAAGTCTTCCAGGCAAATCTCAACAGCTACAGATAACCATATATTATCAAAATTAGACAACAGCTTTGGCCAGGGTCAGTTCTCGTTGTTTTAGTCTGAGCATAGAGAAAAAAAAAAAAAAAATCCTTTTGCAGTAATTGGTTCTCCTACTGTACTTACCCCTAATTTTCCGAACTGTCAAGCCTCGTTTCTTTTGTTACATAGATTGACAGTCCTCTCAATAATAATTCTCATTATGGTTTGAAGGACACCGTGGCCTAGTTTTCCAGGGGAAGCACTGAGCGAGGGAAACACAGCCTGCTATTACTTTGTCCATGGTGCTCTGTAACTCTGCTAATGATGCTGGGTTCCTCCTCATGCACTGGCAGTTTGCTGGACAGGAGGACTGACAGAGCTGTAATTCATCAGCCACAGGCTTGGGTGTAACAGACTGTGGCAAGGTGGCAAGTGTCCCAGTGCGAGGGATTGAGGCTGAACGAAATGGGGTGGTTTCAGAGGTCCAGCTGCTGTTTTCATGTGTTTTGATGCAGCCACATGGAATAATAATTCACACAGGATTACAAAGAGTGAGGATGAGGTGCTGAAGAGAGGGGAGGAACTTCTACTAAATGATGCTGTGGAAGGTCGGGTTTTCTCTGTGCTGGTCAGTATTCATCTGAAATAATATCCCTCATAGAATTCTATTAACTCATTACCAATTTGATATGAAAAAGGCTATGCT